CTGCCTCCCGAGTGCTGGGATTAAAGGGGTGCGCCACCAACGCCCAGCTGACTGTAGCTTCTCTTAATCATTTTATCTCCATCTTCTAAGAGCTGTCTCTACAGTTGTGTACCACTGTACCTGGGTGGTAAACTCAAATTTTCTCTTAAACTAAAAGAATTATTTAAAAAATTCTAAAAAAAAAAAAAAAAAAAGCAGTGGTTGGCTCACAACCTTAATCCCAGCACTCAGAAGGCAGAGGAAGGGGATCTCTGAGTTCAAGTACCAAGTTCCAGTACATTCAGGGCTACATGGAGAAACCCTGTCTTAAAAAGAAAAATGAGCCGGGCGTTGGTGGCGCATGCCTTTAATCCAAGCACTCAGGAAGCAGAGGCAGGCTGATCTCTGTGAGTTCAAGGCCAGCCTGGTCCCCAGAGCAAGTGCCAGGATAGGCTCCAAAGCTACACAGAGAAACCCTATCTTGAAAAACAAACAAACAAACAAACAAAACAAACACAAAAACAAAAAAAAAAAAGGAAAAAGAAAAATGAAACAACAAAAATAACAAAAGACATTCCCACCCGAATGGAGAAAGGGGGATGGAAAGGAGAGGCTGGACATGATCAAAGTTAAATCCACAGGTGGGCCCCGAAGGGTCCAGCAGGGCTACCTTCTGGGAGTCAGAGTTGAAGACCACTTTTATGCTGCCTGTAATAGCCTCAGTACACATTCCTTGTTCTTCACATCCGTCTCTCCGAGTTTCCATTGCAATTGACTTTACTCCAAATTTAACACACCATTTAGGGAGCTGTTTGCAGGAAACTTAGCCTTGCATAAAATGTAGCAAATACTATATAATGTTAATTTGATACATACCCACTTAAAGTCCATTATTTGCCACCAGCCTGAACCAGTTTAGGGAAACCCCAAATCCTTGCTCCACATTTTTGTGCATTACACAAAAGTCCAAAGCCCCTCCCAAACTAGGGGCCAGAGAAATAGAACACGGTGGATCTTCCTTTAGCCTTCTAACTCTACTTTTCAATAACTTTATTTAGCTATGCATTATGTTCAGTTTTTAAACGTCATTTAAGGAAAAGGCTTTGGGAATACTTCAGATTGGCATTCAGAAATGAAGTCAGGAGCTGGGTTTGTTGGTCCGTGCAGGCAGTATTTAGGAGATTGAGGCAAGAGGATTTGAGTTTGAGGCCAGCCTGGGCTACACAGTGAGACTGTCTCAAAAAAGGCAAAAATAAAGTCACAGCTCTAGCTGAGTGGTTCAGTGCTGGTTTATGTTTTGTAGAGGCGGGACCTGAAAAGTGCAGCTGTATACTTTGTACAGTTCCTCTCACAGGGTACATAACTTGCCGTCCTTCTTTTCACAAAGATGTATTTAGGGATTTGGGATAATCTACCAGGTGTTGTGAAATGCCAGATGGAACAAACCCTTCATCTTGATTTTGGAACTGAATTGGAGCCAAGAAAAGAAATAGTGCTATTTGATAAACCAACCAGGGGAACTACTGTACAGAAATTCAAAGAGATGGTCTACAGTCTCTTTAAGGTGAGTGTATCTAGTCCTACACCTCCAGGGTGAAGCTGCATTCTTACAGAGGAACCCACAGGGCCCTGTCTTAAGTCATCATATTGTTGACATTCTTTTACTTCCATCAGAGATTACATCTGGAAGAAATGATTCCAAAGAAAGGGAAAAATGTGGAGAATGCTAACCTTTATATTGTTTATAATAGCTATACATAGAATTGAGGAGCGCTCAATCGCAGCACATTTTGACATTCAACTGATAACTGGAGCCAGGCACAATGGGTTATACCTGTAAACTTAGCTACTTGGGAGGCAGGAGAGTTGCCTCAAGTTTGAGGCCAGTTTTGTTGTGCTACATAGTTAAGTTCCAGACCAGCGTGGACTACAGTCTGAGGCAATGTGAATAAATAATAAATCTGATACCAAAAAAGTAAAATAAATGTAGTCTAAATACCTGGATTCCTATCCTGTCCTTTCCTCTTATATGGGGAATGAACCAGAGACCTTTAAACTGTATCCCTAGCCCCCCCCCCCAAAAAAAAAAAAAAAAAAAAAAAAAAAAAAAAAAAAAAAGCGTATTTTGAAACAGACTAAATTGACCAGTCTGGCTTTGAATTGGAATCCTGTTGCTGGAGTTTTTCTGTCCAGCCTGGTCCCACAGCTGCTTTGCCCCAAATAAGCACAGACTTATATTAATTATAAATTGTTAGCCGATGGCTAGGGCTTCTTATTGCTAGCTCTGTCTTAATTATTAACCCATTTCTATTAATCTATGTATTTCCATGTAGTCTTGGCTTACTTTTCTCCACTACATAGCAACTAGTCACGGTCTCTCTCTGCCTACCTTTCCCAGAATTCTCATCTCCTAGTCCTGCCTATCTTCCTGCCTCTATTGGCCAAACGGTTTTTTATTCATCAACCAATAAAAGAAACATATACAGAAGGACATTCACCCATCAGAATTCTGCTTCAGCCTTCTGAGTAACTAGTATTATAGGTGTGTGTTACATTGGATTTGAAAATACTATTTAAATCTAAAGAAATCTCTCTTGGTTGGTGCTTGGAAGACAGAGGCAGAGAGAATCAGTTCAGGATCTGTTTGGCCTACATTTAACCATCTCAAAAGAAAGAAAACCTGTTTAGGCGTTTCTTAATTTCAATTTTTCTTTTTAGGTTTTCTTATTTTCAAAAATAAAAAGTGATTAGAAGTAATTTACTTTTTATTCTAGGGAGATGGCTCAGAGTAAGTCAGTTGCCACCAAGCCTATTAACTAGATAGAGTTCCATCTCCAGAACCACATGGTGGAGAGGCAATCTCCTCCACACTCTCCTCCAGATTCCACCCCACACCAAATTCATACACACACTGCATGCACCCACACTATACTCATATAATGTTCACTCTTTGGGAGATGCAGGGCATTCTCTTACTCTGTGACAAGGTAACTGCTAGCATGACATAACCTACAAGAACCAGTTCTTTCATAACCTACAAGAACCGGTTGCTTTTGTTTTGGACTGGGGATTAAATCCAGGACCCTCTAGCACTGAAGAACTGCATATCAGCTTTTTTTTTTTTTTTTGGTTGTGAGCCTAGTCTAACCTTATTTGGCTGAGCCATCTCTACAGCCCTACATATCAGTTTTTTAAGACTCAAAGTTACTTGCTAAGCTACACAAACTTAAGGTTCCTCCTAGTTTTCATTCCTTCTTTGTAACTTGGCAATTTTTATGTTGACAGGCAAAATTAGGTGACCAAGGAAACCTCTCTGAATTGGTTAACCTCATCCTGACAGTGGCAGACGGAGACAGAGATGGCCAAGTTTCCTTAGGAGAGGCCAAGTCAGCATGGGCGCTTCTCCAGTTGAATGAGTTTCTTCTGATGGTGATACTTCAAGATAAAGAACACACCCCCAAACTAATGGGATTCTGCGGTGACCTCTATGTGATGGAAAGTGTTGAATATACCTCTCTCTACGGAATAAGTCTTCCATGGGTCATTGAACTTTTTATTCCATCTGGGTTCAGGAGGAGCATGGACCAGTTGTTCACACCGTCATGGCCTAGAAAGGCCAAGATAGCCATAGGACTTCTAGAATTTGTGGAGGATGTTTTCCATGGCCCCTATGGAAACTTTCTCATGTGTGACACTAGTGCCAAAAACCTAGGCTATAATGAGAAATACGATTTAAAGATGGTGGATATGAGAAAAATTGTACCGGAGACAAACTTAAAGGAACTTATTAAGGATCGCCACTGTGAGTCTGACCTGGACTGTGTCTATGGCACAGACTGTAGAACTAGCTGTGACCAGAGCACAATGAAGTGCACTTCAGAAGTAATACAACCTAACTTGGCAAAAGCCTGTCAGCTACTCAAAGACTATTTACTGCATGGTGCTCCAAGTGAAATCCGGGAAGAATTGGAAAAGCAGCTCTATTCTTGTATTGCTCTCAAAGTCACAGCAAATCAAATGGAAATGGAACATTCTTTGATACTAAATAACCTAAAAACATTATTGTGGAAGAAAATTTCCTACACAAATGATTCTTAGTTCATTTGGACAGCATCGCCATCATTGAGAAATACTTACGATTCTGAGAGCATTTCAAAGAATGGCTTCTGCCCTCTGGGCCTATGAAGCTATCTTAAATGTGCTTCGACAGTAATGGCAGGTGTAGGACCAAGAAATGTCCAAAACTCACCTGCCCTGCTCTAAGTTCACAAGTACACTCACTGTTAACTATTGACTGAGAAATTAATGCTGTGAAAAGCCTCATTCCATAAACAGTGAGTATTCTGTAGACCTGTTAGCAAATCCCATTGCTGGACACACTGTTTGCATTGAAGCTGCTGTCGTCTCAACAAGGAAATGTCTGAATTTACTAATGTTTTAGCATGGTAAAAGTTTGCACATTAACACAAATTAAAAAATGCCACATAGGTAAATTAAAATGACTCCTTTTATTAAAAGGTTGGTTTTATAGCATGGTTTATTATAGTATACTCACTTATTTTAACTTCAGATGGAGGAAACTGTTGGAGTGACTTTTAGCTTCAACATGTTAACATTCAGTTACCACTGTGACTGAAATTAGGTGTACTTTATCCTTTGATGGGTTCATCAACCAGCCAACACACATTATCTTGGGCTGGGGATATAAGTAACTTTTCATGAAGGCCCAGTACCACAAAGCAGACCCTGACAGAGACCAGAGGTGATCAAAACCATAACCACTTGAGCTGACACACAGATAACTGTGTTACGATGAGGATGGAAGACAGTTTTTACTTCTTGTGGGATGAGGCATAAATGCATCACCCAGTTCTCTCCCTTGTAAAAGCCAGGTTTAGAATTTGACTTCAAGTTATTTTCCTATGTACATTCAGGTCTGGCACATACTTTTCAATATCTGCTTAAAACGAAACCTAGGAAAGCCGCAACACTTTCTGCTCAAATTGTCCGATCTGTGAATTTGTCATCCTCCAATCTTCCAGCCATGGATTCGCACTGGTATGCTTTCAAGATTGACTTTGAGGTATTTTCTTCCCACTATCTACTTGTAATAAATGGAAACACTGTGTCCCCATGATCATGGGTCTGTTGCTTACCAGATCTGACAATCTAAAGGACAGTGACTCGTTCCATGAAGACTAGAAACTCAAGAGCTCTGCTGGAGTCCTTTAAGACGTTTTCTGGGAAAAAACTAAGTTGTTTTGTGGAAGGAAAAAATTCTCAGCCAGGTGTAGTGGTTCTTGCCCTTAATCCCAGCACAGGCGGGAGGACCTGAGTGCCACTCCTTTGCTTTCATGACTTCATGCTATACCTACAATTTCATAATAACAGCTTAACACAGAAATGGCTGCTTGGTAAATAAAGTTATTATCTTTATGAAAAAATCTTCATAGAAAATTGCTTTAGCTCTCAGCAGCCCGTTCTTGAGCTCTGAGGAAGCTTGCCTTCTTTTGAGCAACCCGATCTTTCTTCTGGGCCAAAGACATTTTGGGACGGTTCCACCTTAAAAAAAAAAAGAAAGAAAAGTAAAAAATAAGACAGGAATATTATCTCCTAAGTCAGCTGAAAAGCTCAAAAGCCACTCTCAGCTGAGCATGGTGGCTCATACCAGTATGCAAGACTGGGAGGCAGAATTGTTATGAATTCACAGGCAGACAGTCATAGTGACCCCATAAGAAACCAATAAAACATCCACGATTGTTCTGGGACAGAATGGGCACCTCAGCAGCTTTCTGAGGTTGGTACGTTGCTATCACCACAATTGCTCTAGCAAACCTGGTTCCCTTAGCTGCTGCCACATTATGCAGAGCTAGTGATCGAGTTTGCACAACTGCACTGAAAGCCATGTGAACGACAAGATGAAAATGGCACAGCACATACCTCTTCTTCTTCACCTCTCTCTTGGGCTTCTTCTCATAGACTGGATTCTCTCGGATAGCAGCGTGAGCTTTCTTATACATCTCCTCCATCTGGAACAAAGCAAAGCAAACAGTATTTGCCTTCACTTCAGATGCCCTAGGATTACAGCACAGTCCTTTAGTGCCTGCTCTAATTTATCCTTAGGAACTTAACTAAGCCAATGTTACCTGCTTAAATCCTAAAGTTAACCCACCTTTCCCTTATAGCAATCTATTGAAGTGAGAAGGCAGCAAACTTGGTTTTATAGAAATACACCATCTTCTAGTATTCTGCCTGACCTAAACTCTTTCAAGAGAAGGTATGAGCTCAAACCAAAGGATGTAAGATGCAAAATATACAGGGATAAGAAAGACACCCCGACAACTGAGTCTAAGGAAAGAACACAGGGAGGGAGGACCTACCAAATCTGGAAACCATTAAATTATCATCTCATTTACCCCAGATTTACAATCTACTTTTACATAACAGGCCTTTTAAAGCAATTCCCAGCACCAAAGACATACTTTTACCATTGCCAATTTTAATATGTGGCAGCTACTATGGTCTCTAGAACCCCAAACACGATCTATTTGATTAAATTTCATTGCTGAAAACTTGGTTCTAGAGCTCATTTAAGAAAAAAAAATAAAGTTCAAGATTGTAATACAGCATGTTTTTTATTGAAGTGACTGTAAATCCAACTTTGTATACTGACTCGTTTCATATGGACAAGGTGGAAAAAGGAAATAATTCAGGAAGATCTTTCCTCAGTCTCTCTAGTGTTGAGATTACACATGTCAAAAACCCCTCTAAAAGTTAATTTCTTGCCAGGCAGTGGCAGCGCATGCTTTTAATCCCAGCACTCAGGAGGCAGAGGCAGGATCCCTGTGAGTTTGAGCCAGCCTGGTCTACAGAGCAAGTAGATGGTCAAAGTTAAACAACCTGGTTCTTCCCAATAGAAAATAAATACTGCTTCACAAATACACATGAGGCAACTGATTTAGGGAAAATTATTCACATTGAAAACGTGTCTGCAGAGAATTCTACAGGCACATTCACAGAAGAGAACGCTCCAGATAAAATGAACTACAGGGCAGGGCGTTGGTGGCGGACGCCTTTAATCCCAGCACTCGGGAGGCAGAGGTAGGCGGATCTGAGTTTGAGGCCAGCCTGGTCTCCAGAGCGAGTGCCAGGATAGGCTCCAAAGCTACACAGAGAAACCTTATCTCGAAAAAAACAAAAGAAAACTACAGGACACAAGCTCAGTATGCAAGCATGTACATTTAACCCTGCAGAGATGGCTCAGGCTCTTCCAGAAGTTCAGAATCCTATATCCAGCAACCACATGGTGGCTCACAACCATCTACAATGAGAACCAATGCCCTCTTTTGTCATGCAGGCACACATGAAAGCAGAGTACTCCTCTATATAAAATACATAAATGCTTTTCAAAAATGCATCTAAAGCCCAGGGATCTGAAGGTTTGAGCAAATACAACCTAAGTAGGTCAGTATAAGACCCAGAAGGAAAAGGCTGCAGTGAAGTACAATCATAGTTGAAGTAAAATCATTGTTTGTACTTTGTCTTTAAAGTTCAAGTTATGAGTTTAGTCTAAGATGATATCCAGAGCATACTGACCTCAGAAAATCCTATTTTCCAACCTATACTTTACTTTAGCTTTGTAATAATGTGATGTGCTTTATATTTCTAGTAAAATTTCAAAAACTACTGGTCTTCATGTATTCCAGTGTCTTAACATGGATCATCCTAGATTTCTAATATCAAATTCGCTCTTGCAAGCACAAGTCCTCCCAACCTCTACTTCTGCAAACAACCCCTAGGATTTCAATAAACTCTAGAATGTGTTTTTCCTTTTTTGGTTTTTTGAGACAGGGTTTCTCTGTGGCTTTGGAGCCTATCCTGCACTAGCTCTTGTAGACCAGGCTGGTCTCGAACTCAGAGATCCGCCTACCCCTACACCTCTGCCTCCCAAGTGCTGAGATTAAAGGCGTGCACCAACAACACCCAGCAAGAATGTGTTTTTCATTCCATCCAAAAGTAAATACCAGTCACAGTGGGGCATAGTAGCTCATGCCTTTAACACCAAAGTTTGGGTTTGGGAGGTGAAGGCAGGACTATCTTAAGTTCAAAGGCAGCCCTGGTTAAATAACAACTCCCTGGGTTAAGTTCAGGAAAAAGTCATGCCCCCTGCCCAAGAAAGAAGGGGGAAGGGAGAGACAGGCAGGCACAGAACTGTTCTGGGACAGAATGGGCACCTCAGCAGCCTTCTGAAGTTGGTACGTTGCTATCACCACAATTGCTCTAGCAAACCTGGTTCCCTTAGCTGCTGCCACATTATGCAGAGCTAGTGATCGAGTTTGCACAACTGCACTGAAAACCTGACCGGCAATATTAAGCAGACAGTGCAGGAACCATCCTGCTAAACCTGTTTGCATCCAAGGCTTTAAATGCTGCAGGCCCACTTACACCAGCACATAAAAATCCTTTTCCCAATATGCTAACTTCATTTAGGGCAGTAGCAGCTCAGGAGCTTATCTTTATCCACCTACACAGCATCGTACAACCTTCCATTTTGCAACTGAAATACATCTACATTAAGATTACAACCCACTTAAACACGTGTTTGAATGAGCAGGCATGTTCAGGTAAATTTTTACCATGTCTGGAGTAACGTTGTTCTTTATGTACTGGGAGAACTGTTTCTTGTACGCATCTTCATCTTCCTCCATTAGGTAGCGCATGTAGTCTGCGACATTCTGTCCCATGATATGCTTCCGATGAACTTCTGCATTGAACTCCTTGCTTTCAGAATCATAACCAGGGAATCGTTTGGTACTAAAATGAAAACTTCGTATTTTAGTGTATAGACACGAGATCACTACACTCCCAGGAATTCACTTCAGGAGCTGCTATCAGTCCCGTCTTGAAACACTTGTTGCATCATATGCAATCAAAGGACCAACTACTAACTGCTCAGTTAGTGGGATGTCATCACCAGCAGCTCATCTCTGAATTCCACAAGATAAAACTGACACAAACAAATCTGCTTTTTATCATCATGAGGTCTAAGCGATATTGCCCAGGGCAGTCTCAAACTCCTGGGTTGCTCCCCCCCCACCCCCGCATTCACACAGCCATTATCAGCACTACTAAAACTGTCACCAGTGTTGCCTAGCACACGTTTCCCAAAACCCTTCCTTCAAATCCTTCTATTCCTCAGCAGGACCTATGATAAGAGAGGAATGATAGATTTGTCTGAAATCACAATCAAGCTATTCAAGGGGAAACTGTTAAGTCAATATGTCACCTACTCAACAAACATGCACTAACTTTGAGAAACACAGGTTACAAATCCCTTCCCGTTCTCAGGTTCCTTGTGCACAGTATCTGAATGATTGACACAGATGGACCAGTAAGAGTCAAGGCAGAGACCTTGGAAACTATTCATTACCTATGAGGAATAGACAAGCCTCCATCCACAGCTCCCTTCAGGGCCCCAAAAACTTTATTGCCAGTTGTAGTGCGGGCAAGACCTGCATCCAAAGAGTCTGTGAGGGCACCAGGCTGGCCATCGATGCTCTCAACATTGTATTCGTCTCCAGTCACCTCCACTTGGCCTTCATAGATCTTGTCCATACCAAACCTATTGAGAAGCTATGAACAGAGAAGTCAACATAAAACCCTGTCCCTGTTGTATCTCATGTCACAACAATGTAACAATTTCATCCTTATATTTACTTGTGTGATTTCTGTATGTCTTCAGTCTTTTTTGGCTACTGAAAGACAAATGTAGTTTTAATAAAATCTCAGGTAGGACCATAGTTTAAAATACTGTCTGCAGCTCTGCTGCATAACATGATTTTAACTTAATTTGCATTACTCCTCTGCTGGCAAACTATCTGGCTACGGTTTCACTACAAGCCAAAGCTTCAGTGAGACGTAGTTACTTAAAGCAAACCCCCTACAAAAGCCTATTTTAGCAATCCATGATGGGCCAGCACTGATCGACTGATGCATATGCTTGCCGACCACACTGCAAAATGGCCAGAACTCAGTACAAAAACAAAACTCATTTTTACCTACTAGTAGAAACTCAAACACGTAGAAAAGCAAAAAATTTATCAATGTCCACCTCCCATCAAAAGAGTCTGAGGATCTAAAGTTGGATACCCTAAACCTTCATTTTAATGTAGGCTGGTTGAAGATACACCTCTAGGTAATTGGGTCTTTCAAACTCAAAATAAAAAATAAAGTTCTGGCTGGATTTTAATCCACATGCTTTTAATCCCAGCACTCAGGAGGCAGAGGCAGGTGGATCTCTGTGAGGTCGAGACCAGCCTGGTCTACAAAAACTAGTTCCATAAAAGCCTCCAAAGCCACAGAGAAACCCTGTCTCAAAAAAACCAAACCAAAAAACCCCGAAGTTCTGGGCTGGTGGGACAGCTCAGTGGGTAGAGTTACTTTGCTACCAAGCCTTCTAATCAAAGGCCCATCCCTGAAGACACACAGTAGCAGAGAACCAACTTGTACAGTTGTCCTGACCTCCAGTATGCTGTGCCAGGCATGTGCCCCCGCCCAGATAAGCAAACAGTTACCAACATAGCTCCTACCACTGAAGAAAAATCTCAGACAGAGCTGGTCTAGACAGGTACAGAAACAACAAAAAACAAGACAGATAAAACCCCGTTCCTTGCTGATGGCTTTAAAGCCACAAGGAAACAGTTGACCTTCTCCTGAAGCCATAGGTGACTCTTGTCCACGTTTGAGTAACTTATGAAGACACCCAGTACCTACCCTGCGGGCCAGCAGCAGGCCGGTGCAATAGGCTGCAGCATAATTTGTCAGGCCAACTTTGACCCCGTATTTTGGCAGTTCGTGTGCATATGCTGCGCAGACTATCATGTCCCCTTCTATACGGGCATAGGCAATCTGCATGGGAGAAAGACCAGGAAGTCATTCGCTGCTTCAGTGCTTGTCCCCCTAAGTGCCTTCCAAGAGAAGACACAGTCAATCAACACCTGTTAGGCCTCACCCTCACCTACAACTACAATTTATCACTTGGTCAACTAACTACACAGCAGCTTAGCAAAGAACACAGCATCGCTAAAACACATACCACACATTACAACTTAATTATAATAAATTATGAAATGTAAAAAAAGCAGGGTTGTAGTGGCATATGCCTTTAATCCCAGCATTCTAGGCAGATGGATCTCTGTGAGTTCAGGCCTGCCTGGTCTACAGCATACACAGATCCTGTCTCAAATCCCAACCCCAAAAATCAAGTCAACAAAAAAATAACCAATTACTTAAAATATCTTCTGAGCTAAATTCAACTAAGTTTTAGGTAATTCATGCTTGGTTATCAAAACATAAAACACTGCTCTCATAGTCAATAAATTTGCAGAGAAAGTAAGTGTACCTATTCCCTAACCAGCTAATTTCAGCTATCCATTGTCTGAGTTGTGAAAATTCTGAACACAGGACTGCCATTTTTTGAAGGTTTTCCTAAGTGGAAGACATTTTTGAACATTTAAAAACCTATTTGCAACAGTAAGAAATAGAAAGCTGCTCTTCCAGAGGACCCGGGTTCAACTCCCAGCTCCCACTTGGCAGCTCATAACTCCAGTTCCAGAGTACTGGACACCCTCATGCAGCCAACATCAACGCACATTAAAAAAAAAGAAATAAAGAAAAAAAAGTGGGTCTTCCCACTTTCATTTACCAACTTCATTAATGAGTAAAGAAGATTAGTGTAAGAGCCAGGAACTCGGGCATGACAAGTTCTACTCAACAGTAAATGGGAGACTAGACCTCATACAAAATGGTTTTCCCAGCCTGGCAATTTCCAAACCTGCCCCCAAAATAGCAACTTTGGAGTCTGAGCTTTAAACCCACTGCTTCAAGAAAAATATTCTATTCACAGTAACAAAAGGAGTCTGACCACACAGTGCTTGAATCTAGAACACAGCTCACCTGACAGATGATATCTCTGTTAGTTACACGAACTATCATCCTGTATTTGGGTGTGTTGTACTTATTTTTGTCCTGGATCACCAATCGTTTCCGAGCATAGTAGTCAGTTTTACCCTCTACAAGGGAAAAAAAGATAATTAAGAAGGATGCTCCATCACGAAAAGCTGATCCAGAAACTCCAACAGGAAAAGCTGCTCATACCTCGCCGCCTTCTAAATCTCACTTGGTACCTCTTGAAGTAGGCCTTATTCTTGACAACTTTCACGAACCCCTTTCAAAGGAAAGAAAATGTTATCAGTGTTTTGCTAAATGTTTCACTGAGTAATTTTTTTTGTCTTAAAGACAGGCTGACACTATGTAGCCCAAGACCACCTGGAATCTGGTAGCTTCTGGGAGGTAAGCTACTAGGCAGGAACCACCTGGCTTTAGTCTCTATTTCTGACTTGAGTTAACCATGTAACAATATAACATTCAGGAGCAAATTAATACAACTGTCAACTTGTAGCACGTTTCTAAACTGATTGGAAATCAAGAATCCCTCTATCGAAATGCTTCTCCACCTTCCTAAGTGCTGTGACCCTTTAAGGTAGTTCCTCATGCGGTGGTGGCCCCCCAACCATAAAATTCTGCTGCTTCTTCACAACCCTAACCTTGCTAAGTTACGAATCGTCATGTAAATAAGTACCTGATACAAGACTCTCAACTCACAGGCTGCCCTGGTGGTTTACTTCGTAAAAACGTATAACTAAACCTCAGAAAACGTGTAACGCTGGCTGGCAGGGAGCAAGACCCTGACCCGAGCCTCAGCTCTCCACAATCGCAGGTTCCTACTTTAACAGGTACACTCGTTTTCCTGCTGCCTTTAAACAACCTTCCAATCCCGGTATCTACTATCGATCCCTGCGTCCGCTTCTGGGAACTCTCAGCCTATGCACCAACCGGTGCCTTAAACACTGCGCACCTCACCTCGAGGACTTAACCCCGCAATCCTCCCTCCCTCCCTGTCGTGGAAATCTACACTAAGTGCTCCGGCGCCACGGGGCAGAGAGAGTTCGTGCAGCCATCCTTCCCACGAGCGCACAACTGCACACCGGGGAGCGCCACCAACAGCCCCGCTCCGCCTCCCAAGCCCGATTTCCGCGACACACCGAAAACGCGG